AACGTATTAGTGATAAATCAAAAACGGCTTGTTCGGTGTTCTGACCTAACGTATTGGTGATAAATCGAAAACGGCTTGTTCGGTGTTCTGACCTAACGTATTAGTGATAAATCGAAAACGGCTTGTTCGGTGTTATGACCTAATGTATTGGTGATAAATCGAAAACTGCTTGTTCGGTGTTCTGACCTAATGTATTAGTGATAAATCGAAAACGGCTTGTTCGGTGTTCTGACCTAATGTATTGGTGATAAATCGAAAACGGCTTGTTCGGTGCTATGGCCTAATGTATTAGTGATAAATCGAAAACACTTGTTCGGTGTTCTGACCTAATGTATTGGTGATAAATCGAAAACGGCTTGTTCGGTGTTCTGACCTAACGTATTGGTGATAAATCGAAAACGGCTTGTTCGGTGTTATGACCTAACGTATTGGTGATAAATCGAAAACAGCTTGTTCGGTGTTCTGACCTAATGTATTGGTGATAAATCGAAAACAGCTTGTTCGGTGCTATTATGGGAATGATTTTGCCTTCCATTCTTTCTATTCATCTGTTTTTAAGCTCTATAGGTAGCATGTAACCTGATTCTTAATCCGTTCATTGTGGCTGTCACGTATACGAATCAGACTTCTTCTTGATACTGTGGCTGTGCCATATATGGGATTGCATTGATGCTGTGAGGAGTACTGATGAGAAAAGACAAAAAAAAAATGATTGACACATTGTTTGATGACAATGCTCGGGTGGATGGAGAGTGTGTCAACACTCGTAAGTGCCCCTCACCAGTTCACGCGGGAAATTAAAAAAATAAATGTTATTTTTTGTTATATTAGTCTGATAATATCGACTGATTCTGGTTAATTGGATCTGTGGTTAGTGAGCTGGTTAATCACCACTTCTGTAGTTGCCCGTTGTGATGTAAGATATCAAACCTGGATCATGAGAACCTCAATAGCCGTGCCACTTGAAATTCCTTTAGGCAGGATTAGAGTATATTAATCTATAAGACCTTGGGTGTGGTCTAATACATCAATCAAAAGGGTTTGACCTCATGAGTCCAAAACTGTAATTAGATCTCAAATCAGTCAAGAGATTTTGGAGCTATAAGCTAAATGTTTTTACTTTAAAAAAACAAACTCTGGGCCGTTCTAGGAGCCACTATGCTGTGGCTAAAAATCTGTTCAGTGTAAAATTTTAGGGTGTGTTTTTAGTTTGAGGTGAGAAGAGCCACATTTATATTCTTTGTTTACATGATAGATAACTAAAATGAGTGTCTTTTTCTTGTGAACAATAGGCATTTTTATGCCTCCACCGGTTTACATAGTAGAGCAGAGCATATGGTTTACATAGTAGAGCAGAGCATATGGTTT